TCTATGTTGTATTTTAATTGTTGCACTGTATTTCACTGTATGCATTTGCTAGAACTCATTCATCTTATTGTTGGACATATGAGCAATTCTGTAAGTTATAAATTCTGTAATATTGTAAGTTACGCATATAGTAAGTTTTTATCTTTACTCAGTACATTTTGGATATTTGTGTTGAGTTTCCATTCATAGTTTTGACTCTACTTGTCAAGTTTATTTTTAAAAACACCTCTAAGAATTTAATTGTATTGATTTTTAAGTTGATTTGGGAAAACATTAAATACTTGAAAGTTAAGATATTTTAATTTATAAACTTACTTTCATGAATATAAATAGTTTGAAAAGTCTATCTATTCACCATTGACTCGGATCACAACCTTTATTAAAATGCCAACTAAGCATAGATGCATGGATCCCTAATTTAGCTAACTCCTTCATGTTACCTACCCACTATACAGTAACCATGGTATCAGATTTTAGTATATCTATCTTAGTTTTTGCAATTGTTTAATTATTTTTTGGCATGGCAAGTTCTCTCACCTTGTAATTATTGAATATTAAAGATTTTTATTTCATACACTAACCTTACGTTCTTCATGTCAATTTTACATATCAGTATCATTTTGACTTCAATTGATTTTGCATTATAGTCACATATTAACTTAAGGAGAACTTTACATTTTGTGACTTCATTCATGAATAGTGTAACATTTGTCTGCAACATTTTCCAAAAGTTTTGATGTTCTCCTCACAGAATTATACATATTTTGTTAGTATATAATTTGAATTTTTATAACTTTGATTACTAAATATATAATTTTAAAGAATTTCATACATGAGTTCTATAGTTATATCATTTCCATCCTCCTTCCCCTCCAACAAACTCCTGTCTTCCATCCCTTTTCAGTTTCATGACCTTATTATTGTTATATATATATACATACTGTTACATATATATCGCCCTCAACCTGAGCTACATCATGAGATTCTGTCTCAGAAGCAAACAAGGGAAAAATGTGTGTGCATGAATGACAGATATACATTGGGTGCATGTATGAAAATATCACAATAAAACTGTCATGACAATATTAATATATAGCAATAAAACATTAAAATAAAAAAACAATAGAAAAATTTTATTAATGTTCATAACTATTTTTCCTTCCAAACTGCTTATGCAAAGGGTTAGGTTTCAGATTATATTTGGGCTAGTTTTGGTAACATGCTTTTCCACGATTTTTTTCATGTCTTCCATTTTTTCAAATGCATCAACAGATAGTTGTTACAAAGTTTGCCCCACGGTTCTGTGGTCTGTATCCATGTTGCTTATGTGTGGTTTCCTCTTATTTTCATGAAGGAAATTTGCCAGGGGCCCATCTAATTTCCTAAAGTTCTTAAAATAACGTTGGCTTTAATTTCTATTTAACTTCTAGTTCATTAATCATTGCTGTTATGAAATATGAAGTTTTTCTATTTAACAGTCACATTTCTAAAAAGATAATTATGATTTCTTCTGTGTGTGATTTTTAAGAGTCCTGCAGTTTATAATCAAATGAGCATCATTCTAGATATCTTAGTGTTTTTACTTATGATTTGATGCACTGAACAAGATTTTCACTTTTCAATTTCAAGCCCTTATTTAAAGCCAGTATAAGTTCAGTTTTGGTAAATATCGTCTCTTTGCTTGAGGATAACATATGTTTTCAGTTGTTTAATGTTCTATATATGACCTGCAGCCAAATTTTATTAAATCAGTTTATCAAATCAAATCCTTATTCTTTTTGAATATTTTATAAATTACTGAAAGAAATGTCATTAAAAATCTCCCACTATAATTACTGAAATTTCTACTTTTTGGTACAACATTATTTTCTGCCTTATATTTTAAAATTTATTTTTTGCCTGTTTTTTTCTTTTTAGTTTTAGATTTATTTATTTTAATTTACATGTTTGAGGGTTTTGCCTGCATATATGTAGATGAATCCTATGCAAGCAGTGCCCTCAGAAGCCAGGAAAGGGTGTTGGATTCCCTGGAGCTGGAGTTAAAGATGGTTGTGAGCCACCTTGTATGTGCTGGGAACTGAACTTGGGTTTTCTGTAAGAGCAATAAGTTCTCTTAACCACTGAGTCATCTCATCGTCCCTGCATTGTATCATTTTCGAGTTTTATACTAGTTCATAAAAAGTTAAGAGCATTAGATTTTTATTATTTTCATCTTCACTGTGACAAAAATATCTGACAGCACAACTTAAGTTGGACTGGATACCTACATTGCATTCACAAGAGTACTCCTGTCACATGATGCCTGGCCTCCTAGGTTTTCTTTGGAAATTTTGGCTTAAGTATCCATAACCCTGAAACTCTTGTAGTTTTCAGGCCTTAAATCCAGCTTCATGTAGATAACACCAATGTGTACTTCTTGATCTGCTCAAGCAATAACCAGGCATATTTGGACCATGGCTACTGCCATATTTGAGTACCTATATATATTGTACACAGGGAAAGGAATTCAGTAGCAACAACTTTCTGTGTAGCCCAGTACCAGCAAAGTTCCATGGAGGATCTCTTTTTAAGGGTAAGAATTTGAAATGAATTTATTTTTTCAAAGTCTTGAGCTTCATATGGATGGACCAATTCATGAGAAATCCTCTAGACACATTTTAAAATGGTACTTAGCTTCTTATTTTTTCCCGTGATAAGTCACATTTAACTATTCTCTCTCTCTCTCTCCCTCTCTCAATTCATACATATATGTATGTTTATGTGTGTGTTTATGTATGTATCAGTTCTTATTAATTTTTAAGTTAGAAAAGTGATGTGCTTCATTATAGCCTTTTCATACATATATTTTATTTATATTCCTAACAACCTTCCTCCATCCCTCCTGCCTTCCCCTTGCTGATCTCCTTTTTCCAAATTGTTGTCTTCTTTATATGAGACTAATTTCTTCATCAACCACGTATTCCTTAGCTTCAGCTTTACATGGACTTTTATTATCAAACTCCAAATTTTAGTGTTTTTCTATTCTGGGTTTACTTCTCCCTGAAAATCTACATAAAAGTATCAAAAATAACTATGCCACAACCTTAATAATGACAATTCTTCTGAAAAATTAGTTAGTCCATCACTTAAAACTCAAGTCTTCCTCAAAGTCATGGACAAGATACCTGGTTTTCAAGAAAGTCCTTTTTTTCCCATTTGAAACTTCATGAGGAGTTTACTCACATGGTCTGTGTGCTAGTGCAAAACATTAGGACTGTAGAAGCCTTTAGGGTGAGGTTCCTTGTCTCATGGAGGATAAGCAGCAGAAAAGGAGGAAGAGACCCAGGGACAAGGTATAATCTTCAGGCACATTCTTAGAGGCTACTGTCTCCAGTTATGCACCATCTCCTAAAGTATTTATAACCTCCCGCAACAATGTGACCAGCTTAGATCAAGCTTCCAGCATAGAACCTATGAGGGAATATTTAATATTCTAATTCCATTTTTTCCTACATAAGTCTTTTTACCATATTTTATGGTTATATATATATAAACTTTCATGCTGGCAATACTTTATAATTTCCTTGTGTCTTAGATTTCTTAGGAGCCATAAGTGAATCATTTGCAACTAACTAATGTCATGTAAATACTGATGCTATTGTTTGAAAAGTATTTGTGTATTAGTGGGTTCTCCCTCAGGTCATGGTAGTACAAAGAAATAGTGGAATCTTTAAGAAAGTAGTGAGAGGAAGCTACGTCATTAGGGCTGTGCCCTTGAAGGAGATTTGGACTCAGAACCATTCCTATCTTTTCTGCATTCTGAAACTTGTGTGGTCTCATAGACTTCCATTCTGATAAATAATGTGTCAGAACCCCCACCCCTCAAAATAAACCTCAGGCGTCATGGACTGAAGTCACTTAAATTGTGAGTTAAACCCTCATCCTTTAAGTTGACATCCCCAAGTATTTTGTTAGAGCAAGAGAAAATTAACCCAATTCATGTATTTGAATTTATCATTCCATTTTGTGATTTCTTTTTGTCATTAACTGTAACATGTCCTTTGTTTGGCTTCAATCTGTATGAAATGCCAATTTTCCTTCTATTTTTTCCTAGTAATATGGAAATTATATTAGTTTCACCTAATCACTTAGCTTTTATCTTAGGAACTGTAATGAACATATTATAATTTACAGAATCTGTACTTAAACAGACATTCCCTTTTCTTAGAGAACATAAGGTTCAGAACATTTGACTCAGTTTAGCTCCATTTGATTTACATATTAAGATTTTTCTCTCTGTGATTTACATACACTTAATTTCATAAGACATTGCTAGCTATATTATTAATTTCTGCTTGATTTTACCAATATATTTTCTTCCATATGAGTTTTTCTGTCTTCTTGTATTCTGGATTTTCCATCTAGAGCTTTAAAAAAAATAACAAGAAAAATCTCCTAACTTATCTCTTCAACAAATTTTTACTTAGTGAGAATCAGTTCACATATTCAGTTTTTGTTATTTAAATATCTTCCTCTGGAAAGATGTTTCCATAATACAGAATTCCAGCTTGGTAGAATTCTCATGTTCATTCAACTTTCAGATCACTGACCACCTTCTACTCTCTTCCTTGGATTCTAAAACTACACTTTGTCTCACTGCACTGCAGCTTATTATAAACGATCTGCTTCTTTTCTCATGATTTTAATATTCTTTCGTATAGCAGTTTTACCCTGATAATTCTAGATATAAAGTTCCTTAAAAAAGTACTGTAATGAAGAAGAGTTAGTATACTGTCCGTGGATTTCTTTTAAAGACCACTCTGCATATGATTCAGCTTCCTAGACCTGTTGGTTGAAATCTTGCATCTACTTTGGGAAGATTTTCAGTTGTTATTATATCATATTTTACTTTTGCTTCATTGTATTTTGCTTCTTTACTTGAAACACTAATTAGACATAACTAAAGATGTCTTTAAATTTCTTTCTGTATTTTTTAATCTCAGAATTTCATCTTTAAGTCCTTTGAGTGTATACGTGTTCAACCTGTGTACAAAGACATGAAAGACAGTTGCAAAAATAAATCCTCTTTTACAACCTAGAACTTATTTTTCAGTATGAGTTTTGATACACACAAGAAAGAATATGACAAAACAAAGTGATAGTGTTGAGAGAAAATATGTAGGAATGAGGCATATATTCCGGTAGACACCTTCTAGGCCCAAGATGGGCCAACCCCCAAGAGACTGAGTGCAGGTGATGGGCCACATGAGGAACCTTATCACACAAGACGAATATTAATCTGGTCATGAGAGCTTCTATATTGATTCCCAAATTCTGAACTCAGGACTTGGCAAGTAAGTGGGAAAATAAAGAAAGCCAAGATGGCAGAGCTGAACTGTCCTCGCCACTGTCTCACATCAGCACTGCCCATGCACAGCAGTGGGAGGGAGCCAAGCTGGCCTGCCCACCCATGTGCCCATGTGGTGCACATGGTCTGCCCACCATCATCATCACTAGTGTATTTCAAGACCTGGCTGTAGTCCTCAACAACATTAAGAATCTAAGAAGTGTACAGATTTCAGCATTCTGAGACCCCTGCATTTATGCAGTCTCATCTTTCCTAAAGTCAAGAGATTAGCCAACTGAAAATTTTCCATCTATGTGGAAGAAACAGCAACGGGAGTTGGCTCCCAATATGTTTCAATGTTTAAAAACTGTAACATTATAATATTATACATTATAGAATAAGCTAAATTTAATATAGGTTGAAATAGTGGTTAAGAACTAAAATGTGAAGCAGAAAAACTATTATCACTTAAAATTTTAGTTTCATTAAATATGAAACAGAAAAAATATAGATCTCAGCAATCTAGGATGCAAACATATGAAGCCATTTGAGTTCTGTAGATATAATACCACTGTAGCATTCTTGTTTCTGGTGGATGTTAAGTTAGAAAAGGCCATTTGATTATTTGAGCCAAGTTTTGTGTAATTTCAAGATTTACTTACTCTCTGCTATAGAAAATGGCAGTCTAACTGGAGTAAATTTGTACTGATTCATAGAATGTTTTTCTTAAAATCATAGGCAGATCGAGATGAATTATAAACATTACAGTTCTAAAATACTACAAATTTATCTTTAGAAAAATATGATATGAGCCTCAAAGTGTTAATTATCCATCTATATTTGTCAGAAGAAATCAATAAAATGAATCAATCAAAAAAATTGGGAACAAATTTTGGGGCTGAGGAGATGTCTCAGTTGTTTGAATGTGCTTTCTGTGCAATCATGAGGACTGAGGTTCAAATCAAAGCACAAACATTACAAGGCTGGTGTCACATACCCACCTGTATCAGCAGATTTGAGACAGGCAGAGATGTGAGGATTACCTGAGCCTTGTTTTCTTCCAGCTCAGCTGCAAAGCTTGAGCCCCATGCTCAAGGAGAGACCCTGGCTCAAAGGAACTGGCAGATGGTGATAGAGGAGAACTTCCAAGGCCTGGCATACTCACTCACACACAGACACATACACACATACTAACGAAATGAATGAATGAATGTTTTTATTAACTTAAAATCAGCCTGTAAAACAAGAAGGTTTATAGAGCAGTATGTATTAATATTTAGAACATATATCCTGAAATTAAAGCTTTTTAGCTCATGAACTATGATACTTTGAGATTTTGTCCTGTTTTCAGGTAGATGTTAATTGTCATAGTTTTAGAAATAATACTATTCATAGTCAAAACAAGATTCCTAATGTAGAGGAATGTGCCTCAGAAGATATAAGATTCCTAATTAGGAGACAAAGGGCTTTATTCAGAAAATTATAAGCATGAACATCAGTCAATTTGAGCAGTTACCCTTTGTCTCTCAATTTCAACAAAGGTGAGGCAAAAGTGATGTGAATATCACACAAGGTAGGGTTGTGTTGTACCTGATGAAGTCTTTTTCTTAATTTATACAGCAAAGTAAAAATGTAGACCAAAACACTTATCCTTTCATTTAAAAAAGGAAAAACAACTCTTCCAAAAGGGAAAACACTGCTATCTTTGGCTTAAAAATATTCTTGTTTTTAATGCTTTGGCAAAAAGAAACACATACAGCTAATA